GAATAGGAGGTATGATGAATTTTATACCAAATGAAAGCCTGTGAAAAACGGGGTTTAGTGATGCTAAATACAAAGGCTTTGGAAAACTTTCATATGTCAAACTCTGAAAAGTTCCGATTTTTCATCCATGAAAGTCATGAGAAAACTAGTTTATCATATAGTATTCGAATTAATGGCATTTGAAAATAGTTTCTTTTTTTATTCTTTAATGAATATAATCAATAATCTGTGTGACGACCATTAGCATTTTTTACAGCACGAAATCGAGATGGATATGAGCATAGAAGAGTTTCGAATAGTTCAGTATCTTCTTCCATGCTTGCTAAAACATTTGCGACGTGCATTTTGAGCGTTCCTTCAAGATATCGATTATGTCCACTTTCCGAAGACATTTTTTTTTCAACTTCATCTTTGATTACTGATCCGATGTGTTCTGCCACATTGAGATCAGGTGAATTTCCTGGCCAGATATCATCACCCCAAAATTTGACATCGTTGTCTTGGAGTAAATGTTGAGTTTTATTTGCTCGCATACACGGTGCTTTATCGTGAACAAATATAACTTCATCAGGATCAATAACATTTTCTTCATTTTTTAAAAAAGGAATTACATTTTCAATCAAAACAATATCGCGAAAATATTGACCTGTCCGAGATTCCCCTTTATCTTTGATAATCCATAGTAATCTTTTGCAAGTAAACATTATAAAAACTCCAACACATGATTGGTTTTTTACCATTTCACGATATCTTTCATCTTCAGTAATGTCTTCAATACTTTTCGCCCAGATCCTATCATTCTGATAATTTGGTCGACGGACAGTCCAAATATAAAATTCATCAGATGGTGCCAGATGAAGAAAATCTTCTACAGTCCAATCTTTTAACCAGTCACAGAGCCATAATCGATCTGATATATGAGTTTCAGATTTTAACGGTTTTGGAATAACATGAAATGGTTTTAATCCTTCTCTGTGACGGTAATTATTAATTGTTCTTCCGGTGGCATATTCTTTTTGCTTTTCTGCAATCTCCTTTGCCACAACAGGACCGCTTTTTCTTTGTTGACCACTTGCTTGACAAATAATTTCTCGACTAGCTTCTGATAATTTAGGTTTAGCACCAACATTTGAATAATCAGCAAAGCATTGGTCATATGATTTTTCCCATCACTCCGAGACAAATCGAGTTGTGCGATGAATTTTGTCCGCAATCCATTGTCTATTTATAAATGTTGCACCAGCATCGCGAGCTTCACGAAAAGCGATGCACTTGATCCTGTCAATCATTCTCTGTTGTTCAGTATCATAAGCACCAGCCATTTGAAATAACAAAAGTGTGATGATTTAACGAGACGATGAATTTTATTATGATATATATCGATAAGAAAATTATCTTTTATATCCCACGATATATCTCCAAAATTTCTCTCCACTATGACTTTCGTGCAGAACGAAAAGAAAAAAATCTTTGATAGAACAACTAAAATTACAAGTAGTAAACAAAAGAACGCAAGAGAATCATCTTGTTTTCTGAATTATAGTTGTGTTTTCTAATCGTTACCATAACCTTCTGTGATTTTTTTCCTATAAAACTCTTCATTTTCAATATCTTGAAACTCATTAAAAATGAGTTATAATGATTTTTTTTCAACAAAACGCAGTCTTTTTATGGGTTTGATGTATGAAAGTTTTCCAAAGCCTTTGTATTTAGCATCACTCAACCCCGTTTTTCACGGGCTTTCATTTGGTATAAAATTCATCATACCTCCTATTCGGGATTATATCGTTACCCCCCTTGAATAATATTCTTTCCGACCCTGTACTTGGTACGGGTCCTGCTTATAAATATTTTGTTTCTGGTTTTGTCATTTTGACCCCACAATTTTTATTAATTCTTATTGGTCGACTTCATTTTCTTTTTCAATCACAATCTATTATTCATCGTGCTATTCTATATGTTATCCATGCTACAGCACTTATTGCATCCGTATTTCTTCTGATCATGGCCATCGTGAGTTTAGATCATAATATTTCTCTTCATCTGACAGGTACTATTGCAATGTTTTCACTCCTTTCAACGTATTGTTCATTGCATACTATTGTTGTTTTCTACCTCTTTATACGACGATCGAAAGCTCCTCAACATTCGAATATTCTTTACACATTATGGTTTCTTATTTGCTGTATAGTACTTATTATCTGTGTTAGCATCTGGGGCGCAACACACCAAAGCATTCCGCAATACATTGCTGCTACGATGCCTTTTCTGTATCTTCTTGGTTTTCTACCACAGTTTTGGAGCCAAATGAAAATGGAAAGAAAGGATTCTGATTTATCTACATACGTGCATAATTCAAATGAAATGATGTCATTCTAACTTGAGAAAAATAAGATAAATTTCAAATTATAAT